TACCTCTTCATTAAGATCACCATGGAGGAAAGCATTGTTTATGTCCATTTGGTGGATATGCCAGCCATTAGAGACAACCAAAGCTAGGAACATTCTGATGGTAGTTAGCCTGGCCACAGGAGAGAATGTCTCTACATAATCCACCCCGAGCTGTTGTGTATAACCCTTGGCCACTAATCTGGCTTTGTAACGCTCCACCGTTCCATCTGCTTTGAGTTTGACTTTGTAGATACATTTGCAACCTATAGGTGTTTTGCCTTTTGGGAGATCTGTAATCTACCAAGTATTATTCTCTTGAAGGGCTATAATTTCTGCTTGCATTGCATCTTTCCAGCAGTCTTGTTTAATTGCCTGGTTGTATGTTCGTGGTTTTGTTATTGAAGTAACAGCCATGGTGAGAGCTTTATGTGAGGGTGATAAATTTTCAAGAGAGACTACCTTGGATAAAGGATAAGGAGAAGATCCTTGACTTATGACCAATTCACAGTAGTAGTCATGCAGTTTGGTAGGCATGTGTCTATCTCTGTTGGATCGTCGAATGAGAATAGGAGTATCATGAGATGGCTGCTCAACATTATTTGGTTCTTCATTGAATACTCCTTCATGTGGTGGCTGTATTTCATCATGAGTGTCATCATCAGAAAAGAGTATATGAGGGCTAGCAGAACCTTCACTGTGAGCTACATCACTATGGTTACTTGCAGATTGCACATTCTGCTCAGCATCTTTGCATGGCATATCATCATAATCCAAATTCATTGAAATAGGAATGCATGGCAGTGGAGGATCAAACTGTGTGATGGATTCTGTAGCAAGCTCAGACATAGGGAACTGTTGCTCATAAAATACCACATCTCGAGAGATAAAAATTGATTTATCAAGCAAATCGTAGAGTATGTATCCTTTGATGTGTGCTGGTACACCTTTAAAGATACACTTCCGGCCTCTAGGTTCCATTTTGTTCCTTGAGTGAGGCAGTGTAGATGCATAACACAGACAACCAAACACCTTAACCATTGTTAGATCTGGTTCCTTTCCATGTAGTTTGCAATATGGACTGAATCCCTTAATAACTTGCGAGGGGAGCCGATTGATCAGGAACACCGCGTGCATGACACAATGGCCCCAGAACTCTAGGGGCAGCTTAGCTTGAAATCGAAGAGTCCTGGCTACATTAAGGATGTGTTGGTGCTTTCGCTCAACTACTGCGTTCTGTTGGGGGGTATTAACACACGATTTTTGATGGATGATGCCCTTTTCATCAAAGAAATCTCTCATATCAAACTCAGGCCCGTTATCACTCCGAATTACTTTGATTAAGGCTCCAAACTGTGTGAAAACGAAATTGTGAAACTTCTTTATCAACTCCCTCGTTTCTGATTTTCTTTTCATCAAATGCAATCAAGTTTATCTTAAGTGATCATCAACCAAGGTTAAGAAATATTGTTCTCCTTTCAAAGAAGAAATTGGGAAGGGCCCCCATATATCTGCATGCACTAAATCAAAGCAAGCAATAGAAGAAGAGACATGTACAGGGAATGGAGATCTCTTGTGTTTAGCTATGTGGCAAACATCACAAGCTTTATTTATAGCAGACAATTTTGGAACATCTTTGAGTAAATGCAACTTGTTCATAGGAAAATGTCCTAGACGTTGATGCCATGTCTCAATTTTATTACACTGCAAAACCACATTCTTGGGGTTAGTATTACTTTGCAGGGGTTGCTTCATCATCACATATAGCCCCTTTTCTTGTTTAGCCAAACCAACCGTCATCCCACAATGTTTCTGAATCATGCACTGCTCAGGAGAAAAGATCAAGTTATAATGTGTGTCTTGAAGTAACTTGCTTACTGAGACTAAATGGAAATGAAAATCTGGAATGTGCATAACATCCTTTAACCAGAGATTATTGCCTAGTCTGACATTCCCTCTAGTCTGACATTCCCTCTATGTTTGACAGGAATACGTCCTCCAGTGGGCAAACTGACCTCTTCTCCCTCAACAACATAATATTCATCAAAGGAATTAATAGAGCAAGCAATATGGTCCGTAGCACCGGAGTCCAATATCCAAGTAGAGCTGCATAATGAGAGAAAATTAATGTGAGAAATAAGAGACTTGCCTTCGTGGTTCTCACTGAATTTTGGAACCAAAGACACAGCTGCTGCAGAGTTGGGAGTGGAGGATTGTCCTATTTGGTTTTGGATGGCCATCATCAACTTCTGAAATTGATTAGTTGTGATTCCCAGGTCTGAAACATTTTGCATAACAGATGTTGCACCCTGTTGTTTAGCCTTAGATTTGTAGCCTGGCACCCATCCCGGGGGGTAGCCCTGCTTTTTATAACACTTGTCGATGGTATGCCCGGTCATACCGCAAAAAGTACATTTAGCTTTGCTGCTCCCATTGCCTGAGAACCTTTTGATGTTATAAGTGTTAATGGCTGCTACTAGATCATATGTGGGAGTTTGGAGATTCTAGACAGTATTAGCATGATTGATCTCCATAGTATTCATGCTTAAGTTGGCTGCACTAATCTGTCTCTCCAGCTTCTTGGCCATAACATAGATTTTATATACTTCTGGCAGGGGATCGAGCACTAGAACATTGACCTTTAGGCTTCCATATTCGTCGTTTAGGCCTTGTAAGAAACGGATAACCTGATTGACATCGCGTTCCTTTCTAATTTGATCGACGAGATCGCAGGTACATCGGGGATCACATTTGCAAATCGGTAGTGGTCTCATGGCGTTCATCTCCTCCCACACTGTCCTGCATTTCGTATAATACTCACTTACTGTCATGGAGTTTTGTTTCAAGCTATAGATCGCATTCTGGAGTGCGGAGATCCTCTGAGCATCGCACTGCGTGAACCTCCTCCGCAAATCATTACAGACTTCTCCTGCCTTCTCTAAGTGCATAACACTTTGTGCAATTGAAGGATGCATGGATTTGAAGATCCATGAGCAGACCATCAGGTTGCACCGTCTCCACACCGGATACTGATTGTGTTCCCTGTTTGGTGCTGAGATGCTGCCATCGATGATCCACCATTTGTTCTTCACTTCTAAAGCAATTCTCATCGATATGCACTAAGAGCTATAGTTTGAACTGCCTACAAGAAGAAGACTCACAAGGATTGTGTTTGGATTGTCGTTGGAGCTGAAGTGAAAAGGATTTTCCAGATCTTCCATCATCTGGTTTCGACGTGTTTGTGAGAGGAGGTTTCCCTGCGGAACCGCTGTTGGAGCTACGTGAGTCGAGGATTCGCCCACCGGAGATTCCGCCTCCCCTCCTTGACCGGCCTCGCCGGTGACAATGGCAGCGTAAGAGTTGTACCGTTGTTGCTTTGATACCATATTGTGAAGGGAAGATAGAAGCGGGAAGAAGAAGATGAAACTGAAATATGAACTGTGTATTATCTCAATAGGTTGGCAGCCAGCTTTTGTACAGAGGAAAAACGGTTATAACAACCAAGGGAGAGGAAGTTACAAAAAAGCCCTCTTTAGTTCTTGTTCTCTCCCTCTAATAGGAACAAAAGAGTCACTTCATTGACAAGCCAAGAATAGAAAGTAGTGATGCTCTTAACACAACAAAAAGTTTTGACAGATCCAATCCACTAAAATATTTAGATATCTAGAGTGAAGTTGGAATAGATTACCAAGTGTGCAGCTAAAGCATGCACAACAATTCGTTTACACCAATGTGAGTTTTGTACAGAGAAATTTAAAAATGATGATTCACATATCTGATATCAATAATATATTCAATTCACAAACGAAATGATGGTTATCAACAACGATTTATATAAAAATTCATATCAATTTTACAAACATCAAATCATTTGCTACTTTCCTGATATCCTTTTAAAATAATCAAAAGATTGAAAATTTCACATGAATAAATAATGAAAAGATTCAAAAACTCTGAAGACCTATATACTTACTCAAGAATCACAGTCGGCCTCTATTATATGTGTTAGGGTTTTTGCCGCCAGCCTAGGAATAGGAGTAGACTACAATAGCTTATTTAGTTGTCGACGATTTTTCTGTAGTTGTTGAAACAAGAATAAAAAAATGGTGAACAGACAAAATATGTTATATATATATATATATATATATATATATATATATATATATATATATATATATATATATATATATATATATATATATATATATATATATATATATATATATTTATTTATTTATTTATTTATTTATTTACCAAGTATTTTATACAAATATAATAAATATTAATATTTTGTTCAATACTTTCACATGATAACCTATGACACATCTCACAACAAATGAAACATGTAGGGAAAAACGACCACTACCAAATATCAATATGTGCTTGAAAGATAAAAAGTTCATATTTAATATCCCAGTCATATACACAACAAGGCAAATCTAAAGCTTCCTATACTATAATCTCATTACACTATATATCCCTCTATGCGGTACCACCAGTAACCTAATTGCACATGACACACTACCAATAAAAAAAATAAAAAAGATGACATGTACTGAAGATGAAGATAATGACAATGCTACCTAAAAGAGAATTAAGAATTGAAAAAATAGAAAAATTTAAACCAAAAGTAGTATTTAACTATTTATTTAGACTATCGCTTTTAAACTAAGTATTTAGACTATCGCTTTTAAACTAAGTATTTAGACTAACGTTATTACAAAGTTACAAACATTAATTTTAGTGACAATTATAATCAATCTCTCATATATTATCTTGCATTTATATACTTTATGATGAAGTGCATGATACAGTGTGAACCAATGCCAAGGGCATTCTTGTATTTCCCTTCTATTATAACTGCTTCTGTTATAACTGCTAGGTCTTCAATAGTCCTGAGCATATAAGCTTTGTCTCTTTCCTTTTTCTGCTGTAAGAATAATATGGTGATCAATGTCAGTTGCTATCCTCTTACTTCCCATCTTAGCTTTGACTAGAGTTTACAGAGTTTCAACTCTTCCAACATGGTATCAGAGCTGCTTCGCCACAGCTACGTCGCCGCCGTCATAGGGAACGCCGGAGCTCATGAAGGAGCCTCGACGGAAGCCGAGACAGTCTCTCCAATTAACCAGGGCGCTCAAAATCAGAATCTTAATGCAGTTCATCCAGCTAACAATTTTGATGATCCTTTCTATCTCCATGTTACGGAGAATCCGAATTTGGTGCTTGTTTTGCCTCTCCTCTCCGAAAAAAATTACGCCTCCTGGAGTAGATCCATGAAGATCGCCCTAGGAGTGAAAAAAAATTAGGTTTTATGAATAGAGCAATTGTTAATCCAGGTGTGAGAGATCCAAAGTACTCTGTCTGGAAAAGATGCAGCGACATAGTATGCTCATGGATCTTGAAATCTCTCAACTCAACGATAACAGAGAGTGTGCTGTATTTTGAGATAGCAGAGGACATCTGGAAGACTCTCCAAGCAAGATACTCGCAAGCTGATCCACATAAGATTGCAGAAGTCCAGAACGAAATCTACAAGAATAAGCAAGGTACTCTGGCAATCAATGAATACTTTACAAAATGTAATGCTCTGTGGGAACAGTTAAATGCGATGAGGCCAATACCAATATGTGAATGCACTCCTAGATGTTCTTGTAATTTGATGAATAAGATACAAAATGATAGGCATGATGATCAGATCATTAGGTTCTTGGAAGGCCTGAATGATGAATTTGAGACTATAAAGTCTGGAGTATTAGTCATGGATCCTATTCCAACACTGGAAAAGGTTCTAAATATGGCCTTGAAATTGGAAAGGAAGCTTAATGGTTCAGTTAGTCACAAGAATGAGATTCTGCAGTCCAATACCATCCAGGATAATTCCAGTCAGAACATAGATGATCAGAACTTTGTGGCAGCTTTAAACTCACACAACAAGAAGTTTAATGCTAATGGAGGAAAGAATGTACCGAAGTACACATACTGCAACATGCTTGGACACACAATAGAGAAATGTTATAAAAAGCATGGATATCCTCCTGGTTGGGTGGCTGGATACAAGTCCATAAATAAGCAAGGTCAAGACAATCAACAAGAAACAAGTGTGTCAGTGAACCAAGTTGGTGATATAGGGTTGTCTAATGATCAGTTCCAAAGGCTGATATCTCTATTACAGAATCAGAATCAAGGCAATCAAGCATCTACCAGTGCAGCTGACACAGTAAACAGACATGGTTTGAGACCAGAATTCATGAATGTGTCACAAGAAGCCAAAGAAGGCAGGTCTACCCTTAACCCCTCCATTAATTCCATCTTGAATTGTTCTGCTATGTGGATTTTAGACTCAGGGGCAACAGATCACATCACTTGCTCCCTAGAGTATTTTGAAAAATATTACAAAGCCTAAAACATATCTGTTAAGTTGCCAAATGGGGAAACAGTAAAAGCTACCCATATAAGAGAAATCAGACTCCATCCAAATCTACTGTTAGAGAATGTGTTATACATTCCCTCATTCACATTCAACATTGTATCCACCAGCAAGTTAACAAAGCAAGGCAGCTGTAAAATTGTTATGAGTGCTAAATTCTGTAATATTCAGGGTCCCTATGGGATAATGGATGGTTTTGCTGAAGAAAAAGGGGGGCTGTACCTGCTCAGAGACCCTCCCACAAGAAGGAAAACTCCCTATGATGAGAAAGCTCACTCTGATGAAAGGTCTAGTAGCCAATGTAACAGTGTTTCTTTACAATTGTGGCACAGTAGGTTAGGGCACTACCCCATAGATAAGATACACTGTCTGAATGGTATTAAGCCTAAGCCTACTCAGTTGAATAAAACTCATGATTTTGCTTGTGATATATGTCATTTTGCCAAGCATAAAAGGTCTTCCTTTCCTATCAGTGTGACTAAAGCTGAGAATTGTTTTGATTTAATTCATATGGATGTATGGGGACCACTTGCTACTGCCTCCCCACAAGGGGAACACTATTTTTTAACCATTGTTAATGACCATAGCCGGTTCACTTGGTTGCACCTAATGAAACACAAGTCTGAAGTCAAAACACTGTTTCAGAACTTCTATTACTATACTGAGGCTCAGTTTTCAGTAAAAATAAAAGTAATAAGAACGGACAATGGGAGTGAGTTCCTCATGAGCAACTTTTTAAATGAAAAGGGGATTGTACATCAAAAATCTTGTGTAGATACCCCTCAACAGAATGGTATTGCAGAGAGAAAACATCAACATGTATTGAATGTGGCTAGGGCACTAAGATTTCAGGCTAGTTTACCAATAGAGTTCTGAGGTCAGTGTGTTCTAGATGCATCATACCTTATCAATAGATTGCCCACCCCTACTAATAATGGAAGTTCTCCTTATGAGGTCCTGTTTGGAGAAATGGTGAACTATGATCAGTTAAGAACCTTTGGTTGTCTTTGTTTTGCTGCCACTGCCTCACAAGGAAGGAATAAGATGATGCCAAGGGCCAGGAAGTGTATATTCTTGGGGTTCCCTGCAAATGTAAAAGGATATATACTTTATGATATCACTGACAAACATACTTTTATTTCCAGGGATGTTCACTTTTATGAAGAGATTTATCCTTTCAATGAAGCTAATGCAGGAATCAGACCTGATTTTGTGCTACCCCAGAATGAAGTATTCAATCCTTCCTTACCTCTGATTCCTATTTCCATTGAAGAAGAGTTTGTGCCACCAGCAGTCACAGAAAGGGCTACTGCCAATGAGAATGATCAGACAATTCCTAATGCTACATCACCACATACATCAAATGATCAAACAACTATCAATGAGACTGATATGATCACTGGCAATAATGGTGAACCAGACATGGGAGAAATTCCACAAGAAGGAGATACTAGTTGTTTCCAACCTAGAAGATCTGAGAGAACCAGGCACATTCCCACCAGGTTACAGGACTACTACTGTCAGTTGATGATGAGAGGCAGTACAAATGGCAGAACTTCTCCACACTCACTAAACAAGGTCATCTCCTTGGAATCTCTTAGTCCCAGCCATAAGATGTATGCATCATCCATTTCATCTACATGTGAACCACAATCATATCATGAAGCAGTTCAACATGAATCATGAAGAAGGGCAATGCAGAGTGAGATAGAAGCTCTAGTTGCTAATAACACATGGACATTGATAGATTTACCTACAGGAAAATGTCCAGTTGGCTGTAAATGGGTATATAAGGTCAAACACAAAGCAGATGGTTCCATAGAAAGATACAAGGCAAGGCTGGTTGCAAAAGGGTATACTCAGCAACTAGGGGTTGACTATACTGAAACCTTCTCACCAGTTGCTAGAATGACAATAATTAGGACCTTTTTGGCTGTGGAAGTTGCAAAGGGATGGGATATTCAGCAGCTAGACATTAACAATGCCTTCTTACATGGAGATTTAGAAGAGGAAGTTTACATGGTCTTGCCTCCTGGTTTCCAAAGTGACAGTCCCAAACAAGTTTGCAGGTTATTAAGGTCCTTATATGGTCTAAAACAAGCCAGCATGCAGTGGAATGCCAAGCTCACAAAAGCCCTTAAAGCCACTGGTTTCCAGCAATCCACAGCAGATCCCTCATTATTCACCAAAACTTCAGAAAACTCTTTCACTGCCATGCTCATATATGTTGATGATATACTTGTAGTTGGAACAGATTCAGCACAAATCAGTGAACTCAAGTCATTCTTAGACAAATCATTCAAAATCAAGGACCTTGGCCACTTGAACTATTTCCTAGGTATTGAAGCATTCAGAATAGCTGATGGGATTAATATCTGTCAAAGAAAGTACACTATGGAGATACTGAAGGAGAATGGGTTCCTTGAAGCCAAACCTGCTAAACACCAGTTATTTCAGGTCAGAAGCTCAATAGCCTGGAAGGTACCCTCATTGATAATCCTGAAGTGTATAGGAAGATGATTGGCAAACTCCTGTACCTAACAAACACAAGGCCAGAGATCTCTCATGCTGTTCAACAATTGAGCCAATTTGTTGACAAGCCTACAAACATTCATCTCACAGCTGCACACAGGGTCCTTAGGTACCTCAAAGGATCTCCAGGAAAAGGTCTATTCTATCCCACAAACACTCAGATCAGATTACAAGGGTTCTCAGACTCTGACTGGGCAAATTGCACAGAAACAAGGAAATCTGTAACTAGTTACTGCATCTACTTTGGAGATGCTTTGATCTCATGGAGGACCAAGAAGCAACCCACAGTGTCAAGGTCCTCCTCTGAGGCAGAATACAGGGCCCTAGCCTCCACTGTTTGCGAAATTCAATGGTTGCACTACTTACTAACAGATCTGAATGTGATCTTTGATAGGCCAACAAGTCTATTCTGTGACAATCAATATGCAATTGCCATTGGAGAGAACCATTTCTTCCACGAGCGTACCAAACACATTGAGATAGATTGTCACGTTGTCAAGCAAGAGGTGCAGGAAGGGCTGATCAGACTGCTACCAATCCCTTCATCACAACAAATTGCAGATGGCTTCACAAAAGCTTTGCCAAAGCCAGCTTTTGACACTTTCCACTCTAAGCTGGGCGTTCAAGATGTTCATACTCCAGCTTAAGGGGGGGGGGGGGGGGTGATGAAGTGCATGATACAGTGTGAACCAATGCCAAGGGCATTCTTGTATTTTCCTTCTATTATAACCGCTTATGTTATAACTGCTAGGTCTTCAATAGTCCTGAGCATATAAGCTTTGTCTCTTTCCTTTTTCTGCAGTAAGAATAATATGGTGATCAATGTCAGTTGCTATCCTCTTACTTCCCATCTTGGCTTTGACTAGAGTTTACAGAGTTTCAACACTTCCAACACTTTAAATTACCGATTTAAATAAACAAATTCAACATTGATTTACCTATACATGAACATCTCCTTATGGTTCATGAACCAGAACCGAAGTTCTCTACGGGATTTCAACATGTAACATACTTGTTACATTTCGTTCCGGCCGTTAAGCCATTTTAGCATTTTCCAAATAATGCTACTTCACGCACTAGGCATCCATATTGAACCATTTCATACTTTTAACATTATTTCATCAAATAATTCGTATGTACTATGATTCAATAGCTCAATGAAACAATTCATTTTTTTATTCAAAAATAAAAAATGTATCACAAGGATACTACAACATTTATTTAACAAATAAATAAATATGAAAAATTACATTGGAAACCAATTTCCATTATTCCTATGTAGTAGTCCTTCGAACCCGTGTGCCTTGTTCCATTCTCAACCGTCCACTCCACAAAGGGTGGTCCATAGCGCACATCGGGGTACCTCGGTTGTGACCTCACTCATCCAACCATCCACATGTTTTAAACATAGCGAAGTTGTCCTCAACCTTTTCACCAGGATGACGGTTCGCTTCATAGAGGCGTTTCTCCTTCTTCTCGTAATCTTCTTGAAAGCTAAGCTTCCGCTTGCCTTTCCTTTGATTATCGTTGAAGACATTGGTCACACTACAATAGTCCTCCGACCATGTAGTCATTACACCATCATAGGATCCTTCTTGGCTTTTAGCCGATCCACTAGACAACACAATAGGTACCAATTGTGTGCATTAGCCATAGGTCTACCGGTTTATGATCCAACGTTCTCCGGAGCACCATCGTGTGTTTTTGCAACTCCCATGGAAATCTTATTTCCAACGTTGCCGCCGTCAACCGGCATCACGGAATGTGCAACATCGTTGCCGTTCCGACCATTTGAATGTGCACCTCCGGCAACATTCACGAATCCAATACTCTTGGAGTCCATCGACTTGTTCATTATCAAAATTATAAGGTTTTAAGATTGTTGGTGATAATGAACCAAAATCGATTTAATATCCCAAAAATAATATTTATATATACACACACAAGTATATAAAATATTATTGGATATTTATCCGAGATATATATATATATACACACAAATATATATAAAACGGACCCAAAGGTTATATATACATGTATATCTATGAAAAAGATATACCAATATATATCAACCAGAATTGGAGCTAATAATCCTCAGATTACAAGTCCAATCCAACGAATATATCAAAAGAGGCAGAACAGATTTTTGCTTAGATTATATATCAACCAAAAATGGAACATATAATCCTTAGATTATAATTCCAGTTTAACAAGAAAGAACGGATTTTTGCTTAGAGCATAATCCAAAACAAGAAAGAAGGAGAAGGAAGAAAGAATAGTACAAGTTAGGCAAAGTGTCTGTCTTTCCTTAAAACCTTATTTGCCACCTCCGAAAAGTGCTAGGAGCGTTGTGGCCTAGGTTTCCCAGGATAAAACGTACAACGGTTCGACGTTTGAGCACCCAAACGAGCGAACCCGGCGAACTAGAGCACGGGCAAAACACAGTAGCAAGAAAGGAGGAGGAGCAGAGTTTTTGAGAAGAAAAAGTGCTTATCTTTGTGTTGTGTACTCTCGTGTTCTTCCCTCTCTTGTTGCAAATCACTTGCTCCTACTACCCCTTCTTATATAGGAATTGGAGTACTAAATAGCATTTAGTAGGCATTAATTACACGTTGTGTAACATCTAAAACAACAACCCCATTAACAGAATTAAATTCAAAATTCAAAACTGGAGTTAACTTCAGCCTCATCAAGTTTCGGCCTCGCGCTGCTGCTCACGAGAGTACATCCCCGGCGCACACGAGCTCGGGCTTGAATCAAGCCTTTCTGATCTCGTTTCTAGCAAATCATCCAAATGTATGTGTTTCCTTGATCTCCAAATGTGAGAATTTATTTATAAATGCCCATTCCCATTACTCAAGTACATGCCATTTTCAGCGGCAATTACACAATTTATCAAAATCTGTAACGCTTTTGGCGAAAGAATGTTTTAGTGCATCTATGATAAACTTTATCCCAGTTTCTTTCTATTCTTCTGATGCAATCCGACGCCTGAGGGGGCCCCCAACAAGGTCTCTGAGAAGGAGAATGCGCAAAAGAGCTATGGCTGCTGCCAAACCTGTTCTTGATGAATCCCGTGTTCAAAGGGCATATCAAAGCTACAAGGTTATAATGGCAAAGCCAAATACAAGCAGGGACTCCATCGTTACCCTCTTCTTCTTGAATCGGTTGTAACCGTTTTTGCCGCCACCTTACATGTATATATACTCTCTGTTTCGCTTTCTTGTAAGATGAATAAACAGTTTTTCCTTTTCACATTCTGTTCAAACTGATTTCCCACCATCCTCAATCATGCTTTCCGTCATGGTATCAGAGCCGACGCGGTTCAGCTACCTCGCCGCAGTCATCGGCTCCGATGAATCAAATCAGGGAGTTCATCCGGCGCAGCAACCTCTGATTCAGGCGTCATCTCCCATCGATCAACGAAGAGTCCAGGCTTCGCAGAGAAGCAGTGGCGTTGATGACATTGAGAATCCCCTACACATCAACGTGAACGAGAATCCAAATGCGGTCCTGGTCAGTCCGCCGCTATCAGGTAGTGCAAACTACGCATCGTGGAGTATCTCGATGCAGGTTGCTCTGGAAGTTAAGAACAAATGGTGTGTAATTGATGGAAGCTTGCTGCCACCAGAAAGGACTCACACACAGTTCCCAGCTTGGAGAAGGTGTAATCTGATGGTTTGTTCATGGATTCTTAGATCCATTTTGCCATCAATTGCACAAAGCGTAATGCACATGGACAAGGCTGTGGACGTCTGGAATGATTTGAAGAGACGCTTCTCACAGCGTGATGCTCATAAAATTTCCTTTTTGCAGAACGACATCAACAATCTGAGACAGGGAGACATGAGTATCAATGACTACTACACAAGATCTCGAACTCTCTGGGAAGAGATGAACTCTCTCAGACCCCTACCTGTTTGCAAATGTCAACCACGTTGTTCATGTGGTCTCCTAGACCAGATCAGAATGGATCGAGAAATCGATCTGTTGATCCGATTCCTTCAAGGGTTAAATGAGGACTACAATCCTCTGAAATTTGGAATCCTTGTTCTCGACCCCCTTCCTGAGATGCACAAGGTGCTAGTGATGGCTGAGAAGCATGAAAGGCAACTGACAATAACTAATCTGAGCACTGGAAACCTGAGTCTCACTCATGCTAATGCAGTTCACTCATAACAAGCCAATGGGGAAGAGATAGTTGCTGCAATTAACTTTCCGAATGGGAAGAGAACGACACATTTTGGAGGGAATAACAAGAGCTCAGTCAAATGAATTTTTTGCGGAATGACAGGCCACACCATTGAGAAGTGCTACAAGAAACATGGCTACCCACCCGGTTGGGTGCCAGGTTTCAAGTCCAAAAATAAGCAGCAGATCACAGCAGCCAGTGCAAGTTCTGAGAATCAGTTTTCTCCTGAGCAACTTCAAAGCATTATGTCCATGATCCAAAGTCAAATGGGGCAGAATAGATCTTCCACCACGGCAACTGTGTCTCTTGTTCCCAACTTTAACCAAGAGAATTCGTCTAATGAAGGCAAGTACACTAGCCTTATGAATGTTAATTTTGTTTCCTTAACTGCTTCCACATGGATAATTGACTCGGGTGCGACCGATCATATAGTATGTTCCCTAGAGTTTTTTGACAAGTATCAAGTTGTGAAAGATGCTACTGTCAACCTGCCTAATGGAGATTATGCTACTGTTGAACACACTGGAAACATAAGGCTGAACAATGACATTTGGTTGAAAGATGCATTACACATACCATCCTTTCAATTCAACATTATTTCTGTCCATAAATTGTTGCAGAACCCCACTTACTCTTTGATATTTACCTATGGTCAGTGTCTTCTTCGGGAGGACCATGGGAGGACGATTGGCTTTGCTAAGGAAGACAAAGGACTCTATTTGCTGAATGATCCACCAAGAAGCAGTTTCAATACTAATGTTTGTAGTCATGTTAATGTGCAGTGTAATAATGCCAAATTGTGGCACCAACGATTGGGGCATTTTCCCACTAATGAGATGCAATTTCTTGATGATATTTCTGTTCCTAACACAAAGAACCTGATCTGCCATACTTGCCATTTAGCCAAGCATAAGAGGTCCGCATTTCCTCTAAGCAACAGTGTCTCAGTTTCATGCTTTGATTTGATCCATGTGGATATCTGGGGGCCTTTTCAAGTTCAATCTCTAGGAGGAGAAAGATATTTCCTAACGATCGTTAATGACCATTCAAGATACACATGGTTGCGGCTGATGAAATCCAAAGCAAAAACTCGAGAGCTAATCTGAAACTTTCATAAAATGATTCTCACTCAATTCGGAATAGCTATCAAAACTCTGCGAAGCGACAACGGCTCAGAGTTTAATATGGAAGAATTTTTTAATCAGAATGGGATGGTCCACCAACGATCATGCGTATCAACTCCACAGCAAAATGCGATTGTAGAACGAAAACATCAACACGTTCTGGCAGTTGCACGAGCTCTTCGATTCCAAGCTGGACTCCGCTTGCACTTCTGGGGTCATTGCGTGATCCACGCTGTGTATCTCATAAATAGACTGCCGTCTGCAATTCTGGAATGGAAAAGTCCTCATCACAAACTCCATGGAAAAAGTCCAGATCTTAAGGGCTTAAGAACTTTTGGATGCCTATGCTATGCTGCCACACTATCCTCCTCACGCCATAAAATGGCACCTCGAAGCAGAAGATGCGTTTTCATTGGGATCCCGGCTGGTGTAAAAGGCTACTTGCTATATGACCTCTCAGATCATGCAGTGTTCATATCCCGCGATGTGATTTTTTATGAAGACAGTTTCCCACTAGCTGATGCTGTAGAGTCTAGTCCCAATGAGATAACTCCTTGCCTGCCCAACCTTCCTACAATGTTGAATGAAGAGTTGAGGCCACAGGTCACTTGTGATGAACACACAGATCAGAGTGAAGAGTCATCGAATTTTGAAATCAGAATTGCAGATCAGAATGAAGGGTTGAATGAAGAATTAAGTCCTGCAGCTACCGACAGCAATAATACTAGTCCGGACTCCCCTAGAAGCATCACAAGAAATAACTCTAACCCCTCCAACACTTCTGGTACCATACAGAACTCTGGACCCCATGAACAACAACCTGTTATTCAGCTTCGCTGTTCCAGCAGGCAACATCAACCATCCAAGAGATTAGAAGGCTACTACTGTGACAGTATTTTCCAAAACAGAACCTCCCCCCATCTATTATCAAATGTCATGACCTATGACAATCTTGAAGGTCAACACAAAAGGCTCTCCATTGCCATTGCCACATCCACTGAGCCAAGAACATACAACCAAGCGATTAAACACAACAGTTGGAAACAGGCTATGAATACAGAAATTCTGGCTGTACAAGAAAACAACACCTGGGAATTAGTTGATCTACCACCAGGAAAAGTGCCCATTGGTTGCAAATGGGTTTATAAAGTGAAGCTTAAAGCGGATGGTACGGTGGAGAGACACAAAGCGAGGCTTGTTGCAAAAGGCTACACGCAACAACTCGGCATCGACTATCTTGAAACTTTTTCCCCGGTTGCTAGGCTAACTACTATTCATATGTTCATTAGTGTGGCAGTTTCCAAGTCCTGGCACATCCACCAAATGGACATCAATAACGCCTTCTTGCACGGGGATCTTAACGAGGAAGTATACATGGTGTTACCACCCGATTTTGAAAGTCATAAGCCGAACCAAGTTTGCAAGCTATTGAGGTCTCTATATGGCCTCAAACAAGCGAGCCGCCAATGGAACGCCAAGCTCAGTGCAGCTTTGCTCCAAGAAGGTTACAAACAATCTACTGCCGATCCATCCCTCTTCACTAAAGGTAGCAGTAGCGATTTCATAGCGTTGCTTGTTTACGTTGATGACATAATTGTGGCCAGTGCAAATATGGATCTTATCCAAGGTCTCAAGGGGTTTCTGCACTCAGCTTTTAAAATCAAAGATTTAGGACCTTTGAGTTATTTCTTGGGGATTGAAGTTCACAGAGAGAAGCATGGATTAAGCATTTGCCAATGCAAATACGCCCTAGAAATTCTAGAAGAGGCAGGATTTATTAACAGTAAACCTGCAGACACTCCTATGATTCAAGGTTTGAAATTGGTCCATGGTGAAGGTGCACCACTCCCAGATGCCAGCGTCTATAGGAGATTGGTAGGCAGATTGCTATATCTCACCGCCACTAGGCCTGACATTGCCTTTGCCATACAACAACTGAGCCAGTTCATGGATGTGCCTACAGAGACACACCTATCTGCTGCACACGGAGTTCTACGCTATATAAAAGGATCCCCTGGCCAAGGCTTGTATTACCCCACAGACTCGGAGCTGCATCTCAAAGCTTTCTCAGACTCCGATTGGGCCTCATGCATTGACACGCGCAAGTCAGTGACAGGATACTGCATCTTCCTTGGTTCCTCATTAGTGTCATGGCGCTCCAAGAAGCAAGCAACGGTCTCCAGGTCGAGTTCTGAAGCGGAGTATCGTGCTATGGTCGCAACCGTATGTGAAATCCAGTGGCTCACATACTTGCTTCATGATTTGAGAGTAACATCCATGAAACCGGCAACCATGTTCTGTGACAACAAATCCGCAATGGCAATAGCGGAGAATCACGTCTTCCACGAACGAACAAAACATATTGACATCGATTGTCATATTGTAAGAGAAAAATTCACCCAAGGCCTGATCAAGCTCATGTGAGTATCCTCAGAAAATCAGCTTGCCGATGGCTTTACAAAGCCACTTCCTGCTTCGTCCTTCCATCACTTCACATCAAAGCTGGGAACAAGGAATCAATATGCCCCAGCTTACGGGGGGTATCAAAGCTACAAGGTTATAATGGGCAAAGCCAAATACAAGCAGGGACTCCATCGTCACCCTCTTCTTCTTGAATCGGTTGTAACCGTTTTTGCCGCCACCTTACATGTATATATACTCTCTGTTTCGCTTTCTTGTAAGATGAATAAAGAGTTTTTCCCTTTCACATTCTGTTCAAACTGATTTCCCACCATCCTCAATCACGCTTTCCGTCAGGGCAATACTCAACTTCCACCTAGATTTACCCCTGAGGAGCTGTTGAATGTCATGAATGTAGAAAAAGATCCTTTGGTGTGTTTAGAATTGTTCAACTGGGCATCAACTCAACATAGGTTCAGGCATGATGCCTCAACGTTCCACATAACCATACAGAGGCTTGGTGCAGTGAAAATGTATCAGGAGATGGATGATGTTGTCAATCAAGTGCTTGCTGTTCCCTCTATTGGTTCCCAGTAGCAAATCTTACAACTCACTGGTGAACGCTTTAGCTTTGGGTGGAGAGGTAGAAAATGCAGTAAAATTATTGCGGGAGATGAATGACAATCAACGATCAGTTGACTTCATTACGTACAAGACAGTGGCTGATGAAATATGCCGGCAACAGAGTGTACATAATGCTATGAGTTTTTTGAAGGAGTTGCATGACAAGGATCTTATCGATGGCCATACTTATAAGAAGCTTTCATATGAACTTGAAGACAATTATCCCAATTCCCAAGACAAGCGTGGGCGTGGAAAATTGTTATAGGTATTGTACCCAAAGTGACTGTTAGTTTTCTTTAGCAGGAACGCCACTGGGTTGAAATACTTTATGACACAGTTGAGAAATTGTGAGTAAGATATAACATATATTGATGTATAACAGATAACTAATGATTTTGTTGATAATCCTCTGGTAGCGGTGGTAATGATTCCTTTCTTCATGAAATTCTGCCAACTAAGCCACTAGGTTCATCCGTAGACTCATTAGAAAATCACTTTACACATCTCAAATGGTGTTTGAACTGAAGATTGGATTTCATTAGGCTTGGTGGGTTGCGGTTCAAAGTGGTCCTGCAACTCGTAATGGGTGGAAAACAGGCTATCGTTTGCAATCTAATGATGGTGGCTTGGATTCATTGGCTAGCCTGGTATGTCTCTTCATTGCCTTTGTTGTGTTTGAGTTCTCATACCCGTTTAGATATGCATTTTATGGTGCGCTACTTATTAGTTAACTATTTTTTAAACTACTTAGTTGTATGTGATTTTTTGCTGTTGTGGTAGGACTATGACTATATATATGGTATCAGCAATTTCAAGAGTTCTGATATAGCTTTTATTCTATGCCTACCCATATTTATTATTCTTTAGATTATTTTAAATTACTCTTACTGAGGTGAAATACTTCATTAAGCTGTGTGGTGTTTGGATGTGATCTTGCAGGACACATTAAAATCTGACTTTTGATAGTGTGGTAAAAATTTTCTATCTTTTTTAGTACTATTCATTAATGTCATTTAAAATCTGAGTTTCATAGTATCAATTAGTAGTATTATGAGCCTTGTGTAACGGGTGTTAAATAATAGCACTTTCTATTATTTCTCTTACTTTATCCATAACTACAGACTGCCATATACTAGTATTTTTTATGCGCGATGCGCAAAAAATAGGTGCCCAATATTTATACATTATATTAAAATTTTAAATTTATTTAGATTTTAGATATTTAAATTATTCTAAATAATAATAATAATAATAATAATGTAAATCATTTTTATAAATTTGATATTTATATTTATGTAATAATTAAACATATAACTCAAATATTTAATGTGTATATATTATTATTAATGAAGAAGATAAGAAAATATATGGTGGATGCCTGTGTATGGTAACAATAATGGAAAAGATAACGGAAGTTATAACGGTAGGGGTATGTTTGTCCAAAATATTTTAATGTACAACCTTTATAGCATAATGTACAAAAAAACTTAACGGGAAAAACGGACATAAATCAGGGGTATAACTTTCATTCACATTTATTATGTTTTTAGATTAGATTTTTAGATATATATATATATATATATATATATATATATATATATATATATATATATATATATATATATATATGCTAAACACAATGTAGAAGACGACCCTTCACATTCCTACTTTACTATCCAATATATATATGCTAAACACAATGTAGAAGACGACCCTTCACATTCCTACTTTACTATCCATGACCCTTCACATCCCTTTGGCTTTTCATATGCCTTGGCCCTTCATATCCCTACTTTATTCACTTCTAACACTCCCCCTCAAGCAAGCTGGAGCATAGATATCAATCATGCCCAGCTTGTTACAAATATATCACATGAGTCATAGGACTTCACATCTTGAGTCATAACCTTCGAGATCAACACCCATGTCTCGAACCACTTGAACAATCTTCAAACCACGCTGTGCCAAATCAGTCCACAGTTCAACTTGTTGCACCAACAAAGCTTCCACGAAGCCAAAATCAGGCCAAACACCACAGCGCACTGCGCACCTGCCACTCACACCCCACACCGGTATCAACACTGCTTAACACCACAGTGCTCCTGCCTCTTGCACCACAAGCCATTATTAGCGCTGCCTAACACCAGTGTTTTTCTTGTTTTCCTGGTGCACACAAATTGGTTCATCTCGAACAAATTCTTCTTCAACCATCGGCCTTCCATAATTGCCGTGGCATATGCCAGGTCCGCACCCCTCCTGGCATTCGTGTTGCCCATCACTGCAGCACCCCGGACTGATTCACAATGAACAAGCTGGACTGACTCAAACTCATACCAAAATATGAGACTAATCCTATGACCCATAGCCCAAACAACATATAAACTAAATTTAATAAGGCCACAAATTATAAAAAAAACAATACAAAATAACATAAACCCTACTACCCAATTATTCTTTCTCCTCTTCTCCAAAAGCCAAACCACCGCCTCCTCCTTTGTATGCAGTGGTGGTAGTAGAAGCAGTAGCCTGCACAAGTAGCAGTTTTACAGCAGAAACAACAGCAACACAATTGTCACAGACTTGGAGAACACCAAAATCTCTCACTCTTCACCTAGGTCAACTCTCCTCTTCACGGCGAAACTCCCGGTGGAGTCGCCGTCTAAAAAGGTCGCCGGAAAAGGCCTCACGCGCCGGCGCGTGGTCACTGGAGCTCTGGTCAGCGGCGGCGCGTGGAGGCTACGTTGGTCGCTCCCCTTCCTCCGGCGGCGTCGCCTCCTTGCGCCGATAAATGCCCAATAGGCTCTGATACCATGTTAAATAATAACACTTTCTATTATTTCTCTTACTTTATCCTTAACTACACACACTTTCATATATATACATGCTAAACACAATGTAGAAGACCCTCCACATCCCTACTTTACAGGGACGTTATGCCATGGAACCGTGTTCACCATTCATGGTGAACACGGTTCCAACGGTGTTAGTACACCATTATCTTTTTTTTTTTTTTTTCTTAATTAATTGCGTGACTTTTCTTCTTTATTTTCACATTTTGTGGTTTCACTTTAATTTGAGGTGAACAAAGATTCCAGACATTCATAAATTATGAATTCATGCCTGCACATTCACTTTGGAACCATGCCTACACATTCCCATCCGAAATCACGGACATTCATAAATTATGAATCCATGCCTGCACATTCACTTTGGAACCATGCCTACACATTCACTTTGGAACCATGAGATTATGAGTTTTCTGTTATAAGATTATGAATTTTCTGTTATGAGATTATGAATTTTCAGTTATGAGATTATGAATTTTCTGTTATGAGATTATGAATTTTCTGTTATGAGATTATGAATTTTCATTACATTCATAATTTCGGACATTCATAAATTATGAATTCATGCCTGCACATTCACTTTGGAACCATGCCTACATATTCTCGTCCGAAATCACGGACATTCATAAATTATGAATCCATGCCTGCACATTCACTTTGGAACCATGCCTACACATTCACTTTGGAACCATGGGATTATGAATTTTCTGTTATAAGATTATGAATTTTCTGTTATGAGATTATGAATTTTCAGTTGGGAGATTATGAATTTTCTGTTATGCGATTATGAATTTTCTGTTATGATCATAACAGAAAATTCATAATTTGATCAAACGCGCGCCGTTAACTCCGCATCCGCGAATTTTTTTTTTTTTGCCTAAAAACGACGTCGTTTTGCCTTGTGTTCACCATTCTCGGTGAACACGATTCCATGACATAATTTGCGTACTTTACAATCCATGGCCCTTCATATCCCTTTGGCTTTTCATATGTCTTGGCCCTTTATATCCATACTTTATTCACTTCTAACAATGGGCCTAAAATCCGGCCCAGCGTCCGTGTGGCATCCCGGGTACGGATGGCAATGTTCCCCGTCCCCGTCAGGGATCCCCGTCCCCATAGGGGATGGGGACGGGGACGGGGAAAAATTTCGGGGATCGGGGACGGGGAATTTTTTAAATTCCCTGCTGGGGACGGGGACGGGGACGGGGATACCCCTCCCCGCCCCGCCCCGTCCCCGAAAAAAAAAAAAAAAAAAAAAAAAATATATATATATATATATATATATATATATATATATATATATATATTATGTATATTATATATTATATTAGGAATTAGATTATTGGTTATTTAGTTAATTAGTTTTATTAGATTTTAAAATTAAAATTTAAAACACACACAGTAAGTACTATTCAATTATTCAAACACTATAACACTATCACACTATGTATATATTGGATGAATTAAAATTTGGAATATATTGAATATTGATTACATTACATGCACTGTGAATATTGAATATTGAATGTGTATATATAGGATTAATTAGATTATTTGAATATATTGACTATGGATTTCAATTTTTTTTGTTTTTATTTTTTAAAAATTGTGTTTCACACATTGACTATGAGTTGACCGGGGATAGGGATTCTCTGTCCCCGCTAATTCCCCGCCGGGGATGGGGACGGGGTCGGGGTCGCGGGGATGGGGACGGGGAGTATACTCCCCGCCCCCGCCCCGCCCCGTTGCCATCTCTAATCCCGGGGCCCCTCTCACCTTGCGGACCAGCCTTACCCCTCATACATGCTAAAGTGGTTTCGCCCTGCCATGGGCTCATCAAGGAAACGACAATAGCTCCCGACCAGTTGTGCCCTTCAAATCACCTCGGTCCCCTTCATAGTCAAGTCCAAGACTAGCACAAGCTCCCCGAACTTAACCGGATCGGCATGTCTAACTCGGCAAGACCTTAGCATCTAAGGCAGAACAACCCTTGACGCTATTGTCGCCCCCTACCCATTTTATGGCAAGCTAGCCAATTGAGCCGTTCATTCATTGGGTCTAACACGGTCACGCAAACGGTGCGTGACACTCGGCTCAGATAGCTCTGCAAACAAACATTATTCACATGTGTGATACGTTAGGTAATGAACATATATACTTAAAAAGAAGATGAGCATTATAATGATAAACAATCATCACCCTTGTATTTTTCAGAAACATGATGTGCATTCATGTAGGGGCCGAGTATGCATGCTCGGTGACTTGAAGTTCATCATTCATGATATAACTAGCGAATATATGTATAATGTCTGAAACAATAAAATTTTATCTGTGTTTCAGTGGGAACTGATACAGTGTTCGCGTATTGTTCGGCATCACTGCTTTGGATGAATGGCAATAAATCCAGTAAAGTCGAGTCCAGAAAGATCTGATGGACCCTTTCTCTTTTCCTCTGCAACTTTGTTGGTTGTGTGGGAGCTTGGATTGTGTGGAGCTAAGTTGGTTGTGATAAATTACATATCTTGTTGAATGCTCTCCCATAAACTTTTTGGTGATCCATATCTACAAGTTGCCATGTTTCTATAGATGATGCTGAGAAACATTTTTCTTTTTTGGAAAATACTACATGCACTCCCTTTTCTTACTCCCAACTTGTACTTTCTTTCACAAATTCTTGATGTAGACACATTCTCTGGGACCCACATGATGAAAATATCCAATTTTTGCTTGCCATGTCATGAAATAAAAGTGAGGGAGTAAAATTTGGGAGTAATGTAGTAAAACTTTTTTTTATGCCTGAAGAGTGATAGAGGATACCAGTCGTTGGAACTGGCCATAATCCTGAGCACTTTTTACTAATATGCACTATGTGACGTTTAATTTTAAATTATTTACATTGTTGCTTATTATCACAATTGTAATAGTAATGGTGATATTCATTCATTGACTATTCGGTTGTGTTATATAATAGGTTTGATTGTGTTATATAATACACTGTATATGTGCCGTTTTGAAAATTGAGGGAAAATATAGGAGGATGTAAATCATACCTTTATTAAGAGCCCCCTCACTTTGAGAGGTTGCTCCCGTACTACTGTTGGTGAGACTCGATTCCTGGTTATTTTTTCCAAATTTCATCCCTATGACCACTGTTTATGTGGACAACTTTTTTTAGGCAAATTATGCTATGGACTCGTATCCACCATGTGCATGATTCATAATTTTTGTACTGTAGATTCATAATTTCTAAATTGTAGATTCATAAAATTTATAATGTAGATTCATAATTTCTATACTGCACATTCATAATTTCTGTACTGTAGATTCATAATTTCTTTAATGTAGATTTAAAAAGTATGAATGTACAGCGTGTCCACCATGCACATGGTGGACACGGGTCCCAGGCATAACGCTCCATTTTTTAAAATCATATTAACGTACTTAGCGGGCTGTAGCTATTGATGTATTCATCTGGTCAACCAATTGACTCTAATAATTCCACCCTCATGGTAATTCAAATCTAATTGAATACAATCATAATTCAAATAAAATTGAATACTGTTAAAAATAAATTAGACAGAGACTAGAGAGGGAAGACTCATCAATTTTCACCATTTACCATTACAACAATATATATCTCTATATACAATATAAAGGTAATAATGAATAATGAATACACATAAATGTGAATAACTGTTACAACGGTTACAATTGAATAATAATGTCCACCATGATGATTTGTTTATGACACTCCCCCTTGGACATTATTTGTCCACAATCTTGCTTCGATAAATACTTGCTAGGAAAACCCTGTGGGAAAAACCTAGACAAAAGAGTATATATGTATATATTCATGCCTCGTTAAAAACTTCACTAGGAAAACCACTTGGGAAAAACCTAGTTGAAGAAAAGAGTACATGATATATGTAAAAGCATATATTGTATTTGGTCGCCTCATTAAAAACCTTAACTTAAGAAAACCCTGTGGGAAAAACTTAGTTAAGGGAAAAAGAGTACAACCATAAGCCTTAAGGGCGCAAACTGCATAATCTTCAGGATTTTGGGGTTTGTCCATTTAAGCAATTATTTTGTAACTGATGCGTAGTATATTTGCAAACAAATAATTCTCGGAGTACGAGTTATCGATCCACAGGGAAGTGGTTGTATCAAGCACTAGTTACTAACTTATTCATTAGAGCTAATCCTAACAATTACTTAGATGATTGATTGGCATAAAATAAATAAAAATAAAACAGAGGTTCAGGATTTTGAAAACAATTAGAGAGAAGTTGAGATTCATGGGATTCAAGTATTTAATCACCTAGTGCCAATTATCGTTTGCAATATTTAGTTTGGAATTAAGATTTGTGTGGGAATGCAAAGTGGAATCGAATTACTCCCGTAATCTCTATTCCTAGTGAATTTCCACTCCCATGGCTTAAACACCCAATAAGATCAAAGATCAGCATTCAATTATTCCTAATTACTACCATCTCCCGATTGGCAACAATCTAGAATAAACTTCCCCTAATAAGTTCCCCTTTCCCAAGGACCAACCATTAGGTGCAATCGTGTGTGCCCTAATTTATGCCCCAACTCCCATTGGTGACACAAACATGGCTATGAAGCTAGTAACTATGGCCATTAATTACAAGCATCAAACAATATTATCACGATTGCAACACAAGTATTAAACCCAAATAATAATATATTAAAGAAACTGAGAGCTCAGGCACATATGTTCATAAACACTTTTACCCAAGAATCTCTAAAGAATTTAGCCAAGCATGACTAAATTATACATAGCAAATATAAATAAAGAATTACAAATTATCAAAAGAGTACAAGAATTAACCAGACGATTTTCCCAAATCTCCCTAGTCTTCTTCTTGCTTTCCAAGACAACTTGTGGCTCTTGATTTCTCTCCTTCTTGTCTCCAAGAATCTCTGAATTCTCCCGGTCTCGGTCTCTTCCCTCCGTTTAGGGTTGAGGAAGGAGGGATTTTATAGTGGGTACAAAGTTGAGATGAAATAGGAATCTTGTACCAAATTGGACTCAAATTCTAATTCCTATATTTAAATAAAGAAATTGTCGTCTTTAATGATATTTAGAATTTAGAAGATTCCTTGAATTGCTAACTTTTAATATGGAGATATGAGCCTTGAAGTCCGCGCAATTGATATTAGGAAAAGAAATCTCGCGCTTGTATTGATTTTGCCCAGCTGCGCCACTTTAGGCGTCTATTTTTATATCCGCGCCACTTTAGGCGTCTGTTTTTATCCCAGAAATAGACGCCTATTCTCTCGACGCGTCGAGAATTTTCTCCACGCGTCGAGACTTCCTGTGCGCAAATTAGTTAGCTACTGGAAAATTTCGACGCGTCGAGTCCACTGGGCCCCGAACTCGTCCAAAATTGCTCAAAACTCATCCTTGAACTTCCCTTGCTCATATCTTTGACCTAAAATGGTTCAAAAACACTAACAAACACCGTAAAACATTCAAAACAAGTGTGAACCATAATTAAATGATAATAGCAAGGAAAATATGTATTAAATAAGCAAAATTAAAGAACTTAAATACTGAGATGATTCAAAATAACTATAAAAACAAGCACAGATGAGATAACATCAGTAACTTTTCCCCATTTACATTCATATATCATACTCATGCCTCGTTAAAAACCACACTAGAAAACCCAATGAGAGAAAACTAGTGAGGAAAAGAGTACATGATATTTATGCATTTATGTGTTGCAAATAATGCGCAACTGTTAGTCTTTTATGACTTAATCTTCAGGATTTTACGTTCAATCTTCCGGATTGATTCAAGTAAATGTACTTCCCGTTGTGTTACAAATAGTGCGCAACTGTTAGTCTTTTATGACTTAATCTTCAGGATTTTACGTTCAATCTTCCGGATTGATTCGAGTAAATGTACTTCCCGTCTCCCCCTGAAGATAACAATCTTCAAGTTCTACATATATTTCAAAATTTGAAGGGATGGATTGGACAAATCTTTTGGATTGTCACTAGAGTAGTGTACAATAATCTTATGGCTCTTCTAGAGCTCATATAATATTCGTGCAACACAAGTGTTATTGTCCTCATTTTGAACATTTAGAGAAATTCATTGTATAACCAGTTTGGACTTGGCATTGCGGGGATCAAACAAAACAGCCAATACCCAAGTAGCCTATTAAAACCGTATCATGGTTTCTTACATAAATGTCATGTCTTTGTATCTCGAAGATACCGGAGGATATGTTAATCATTATTCAAGTACTTCATTTGTAGGGAGAGCACTAGATTTTGCTAGCAATTTCATCGTAAATATGTTGCGAGTATAGAACTTCTGGTTCTATAATGGTGCTCCAACGATAATGAAGTAAGGGACTTCGAGTCCAAAAAGGTTCCTTATCTGCTTCAAGAGATTATTAGGCAACCTTTAGTTTGATAAAAACATGACACTTATATGCATATAGACATGTGAAGAAGCATGTTTAGATGTAAGCTGACTGGTGTATATATAAAAAAAAATCTTCAAAGAAAAACTCGATCTTCAAGTCGAGATAATACTTATAGCTTTCACAAGCTTTTTATTTCAAAAAGTCTCAGTCTTTAAACATGAACTGACATTATCAAGCTCTTTATATATTTCATTGATGTTTACACCATCAATCTTGACTGAGATAATAAATAATAAATAAGTTCATTATCAACCCTTTATCGAGCACACAATGGTACATATTATTTCTTCAATGAGGATATTAACTCCATTCGCAACCCTTTAAAGAGTAAATAATGACACATAATAATACTTAAATAAATCCTCATTTCGAGAATTATGAATCCATCCAGGATTTCTCAAAATAAATTTAATTGCATATCTAAATTTGTTATTCTGCCAATTGTATTATGTAGCGGAACTTAATGCCATTTACCGTGGGAGAGTATATTTGATTAAAATCAATTAAGGGTCTCTGCGTGAACCCATAGGCTACAAACTCGCTTCATCACCTCATTATTCTTATTTCTCTTTCATACACACACCTATTTGTAACCTTCAGGGTTAACGCTCAAATGGTGTATTGTTATAAAGAGAATTTATTCATTTTAGCGAGTCGAGCTATGCCTTAATTGCTCCTTTATATATTAAATAGTCATGGCACTTCTGGTGCCTAACTCTGGATCCAGATTATCATATAACGAGCAATTTGTAATGGCAATTGTGTTGTCGACAACTATAACATTTTTTGTAAAACTCCCATATTTGTAAAAGTAATGGCAATTTCTAAAACAACCAGATTCTAAACATTTCCCAAAGATATTTTGATCTGGTCGTTCCGCATCCCTAGTATTACGTTTGTTTGGTGCACCCATAAGTCTTACCAGGGTTTTTCGTCATCTGGACGAATGTCTGCAGGACAATTATTCAAGCTATTTCAAGAGTGACAATATTTCTTTACTAGATCTAGTATTACGGTCCATATCTCTTTCACCGATAGATCTCCTACACTTCTAGTGTAGAGGAGTATCGATAGATATGTTTGGTCCAAGGATATAGGACCTAGTCACTTCTTTTATGATCATTATGATTAATAGATGTATTTGGCAGATTTTTTGCTAAAATCGCAAATAGATTATCTTTTGAACTTCCAGTTCAATTTAACTAGTACATGGATTTAA